ATTGCGCTCTCGCTTCGGACTTCGTTCCAATTTACCACCGGATCGCGGCTCCCGCGTGATATTTCCCTACAATTTATTGAAGAATCGCGCGCTCGCTTGGGACTTCCTCGCCACTTACCACCGAATCGCGGCTCCCGCTTGATATTTCCTTACAATTTATTCATATGCCGCTCCTCGACACTCAGGAATCGCGCTCCCGCTGCATATTGCCTGGCGGTTCAAGCAGAATTTACGCTTCAACGACCTGCCCGCTCGACCCGCCCGTCTGGGCCTGCCCGCCCGACCAGCCCGTTAGGGACTGCAGTCGCCGCTTGCTGCCCTTCGCCCGCCTTGGATGCCCCTCGCTGCCCGTGCTGATTCCGCGGTCGCCTTCGCTCGCTGCCCTTCGTGGCCCCGTTGCTGCCCTCAGTGGCCCCGTCGCTGCCCATTTTGGCCCTGCATTGTATGCCCTTCGTGGCCCCCGCTTGCAGTCGCCCGTCGTGACCCTATACGCATGCCTTTCGTAGCCCCGCTGTCGCCCTTCGTGGCCCTCTCGCTGCCGTTCGTGGCCCCTTTGCTGCCCTGAGTGGCCCCGCTGTCGGCCTTTGTGGCCCCACTGGAGCCTGGAGCCCGGCATTCCGACCCTTCAGGCAGCCAGGCCGATAATCCGTGCGACTGCCTCGCCGCCTGCCGAGGGCTAGCCTGTCGGCCCTTCAGCCCCCACCCTCCTCCCTCTCCTCCTTCCCTTCCTCCCTCCTTCCCTCCTTCCTTCCCTTCCTCCTCCTCTTCCACCTCCTCCCTCCTCCTCTTCCTCCTCCTCCCTCCTCTCGTCGTGGTCGTCGTCGTCGTGGTGCGCCCGCTGTCTGTCCATCTTGGGGTCGGCTTGCCGCGGGTCGGTGTGTGCATCGCCAGCGTTGCCACTGGCCAGGCCGACGGTCCGCCGCTTGCCGGGGCACGGTCTGCTGGCCTTTAAGACGCGCGTGTTCCACTGGCCCAGGTTCTTCTGCAGGCTTCGAATGAAAACCTCCCTCGACGAGGCCCCCGGGGCGTTCCCGCAGGTTTTCGGAGTCTCTGGAACTGCTCGGTGGCCATCGGGGCCATTCCGAGGCCCCCCGGAGGTCGTGGGAGGCTTTCGGGTACCTTCCAACCCCCCCGCGCTTTGTTTCCGCGCCAGTCTCCGCTCGTATCCGCCTGCTCCCACTTTTCAGCGTTCTTTCCCAGTCATCCCTATTCTTTCCCTTTATCTTCATCTTCATTTCGTTTGTACTCCATTGTGCTCTTCCTCAGTTCTTCGCGTTCCGTCCACTCCCCCCCGGGCCGCCCCGTCCCGCCCCAACAATCCCCACCCCTTCCCGCTCGCATTCCGCGTTTCTCCCATATTATTCCGTGCCCCACCTCCAGATTCCCCCGTGCGCCCCCCGCTCTTCCGCGCTCCTCCCGGTTCCTCTTCTCCACTCCTTGCCGTTCCTCCTCCTGAGACCCTACTCTTGTCCACTCCATCCCAATCCACTTCGCGTCCCCGTGCTCCTCTCGACGCGGTTGCAGTTGTCGCTGTCCTTCCGCCCCCTTCTCCCGACGCCCCGCTTCATTTCAGGGTTCCACGGAATTTCTTTCTGGCGCCAGTTCGCAGCTATGCGCCCCCCCGTGGGGGTATCCACGATCTGTTCTTTCGCGGGGGCGGTGCGCGGCGCTCTTTATGGCGCGACCCATGGCGAAACTTATCGTTGACGTGTGTTGGAGTCGCTGGCGCAAGCCATGGCGCAAGCTGAGTCGCCATTCGCAGCGTAAATCATCGTCCTCCCTCCTTCCTGCCACTCCCGTCCATTCCTCCGATCCCTTCGTCCTCGTTCTCCCTCGTTATCAGGTGCCCTTCGTTTTCAAGGGCTTCGCTGCCCGCGCGTAACAGGGGGTGAATCTGCCCCCCAAAAGGGGGTGCGATCGAATGCGAAGAGGGCGGGTGTGCAAGGTTTGGGATATGCATATTAAGTGACATGCGAGAAGATAGGAGCGACCAGTCTTAACGTGAGCGTTGTTGTAGTAGTTGCTGTTGTCGTCGTCCTTGCCCGCGACGCACCCGCGATTCGCCCCGCGACCCCCTCGCGACCCGCCCCCGACCCGCCCGCGATCCACCCGCGACCCGCCCGCGCCCACTCCCTCATTTTTGCCAGCAATTGCAGTGTCGTGTGTAGACATGAGGGGGGTGAGGGAAATGATGGGGATGAGGATGGGGATGAATATGACGAGGAGGAGGGGGAGGAAGGGGGGGAGGAGGAGGAGGAGGAGGAAGGAAAAACGTAGGAGTTGGCACCACCGTGTAATTGGGCACAGCTTCCCCTGGCCCCTTTCCGCTATTCCCTGCTTCCCCCTTCCCGCGCTCATGTTTTCCACCCCTTTTAGCAAAGTCCCAGGATTCAAGTGAGGGTAGCGGGCCTGGACAGCATCTCGGACATTATCCCGTTGAGGGCATGCGTGTGATCCAATCAGGCTGTTTTTTTTGTTGGTGGTTTACCCCCCCTTTCGCCGTCCAATCTTTGGCTTCGTGTACTTACGGGTAAATCCATGCGTGAATTTCTGTCCAACATAGGAATTCTGCGATCTCAATGTTAGCGCTGCTGGATGTTCACCAGGGAGGAAAACGAAGAGGAGTAGAAGACGGAGGAGGATGAGGAGGACAATGAGGATTGCGAGGTTGATGGGGTCCCCAGTGGAAGGCGCAAACATGCGTTTTCATGAGTGCCCAGCTCGGCGACGGCCCAGGAGGTGGCCGTCACCATTGGAAACCATGCCAGGGAGTCACGCTGAAAACCCGCTTTGCGGAGACCGCCTGGCAGAGAAAAACCCTCGAATTTGGGGCAGCTTGAGCAAGTTTATGCACGGGCAGCGGCATGCCCCGGCGTCAGTGGGACGACACCACGGCGCGCCCGCAAGAGTTGCTCATGTTTCGCACAGAGGGCTACCCGCGGCGAGGTCCTGAATGTTCTGGGAGCCGCCATGCCTGTTGCACGTGCTTGCTCCGACGGCATGGGCTTCACAACAGGATGATCGGGCACTTCCACGGCATGGTCATAGAATCGCCAAACGACCCGCTTACTAACTTGCGCTATGCGGACGACGTGTCCTTTGTCGCTCCAAGTAAGACGGACGTAGCGAAAAAGGTTGATGACCTTCAACCAAAAGCTCAATAATGCGGCCTGAAGGTGCACATGGGGAAACCGAAGGTGCTCATTAACAGCTCTGGGTAATTGTCTGCGCACGTGCGCATTGCTGGCACTAATATCGAGGTGGTGCCCCCCTACGGGAGGTGAGCGATAGCTGGGAAGGCAGATCTGCGCGGGCAGTTTCCACGAAACAGAGTTTTCGTACTGAGTTTTATGTCGCTTGGAGATGCTTCGCGCAATTCAGAGATGTTTTGTGTTGCCAGTCATATCCAGTGCAATCGCGACTCACGTTGTTCGATGCTTTGGTTGCCTTAACAGCCCTCTACGCCTGTGATTGTTCGGCGATGACCTCCAGCTTCGGCAACTGACTTCAGTCGGCGTGGCAACAAATGGTGAGGAACATATTTCGAGCCACGCGAGGTGAAGCTGAATTTTGGGTGGGCTACGGGGTGCGAGAATTGGGAGGTGACTCGGGCGGCCCAGAAAACCAAATTCGCAGTCGCACTGTTCACGCGGCGATCCGCAGAAGTGAAGTCGCAGAATGCTCTGGTGTCATGCCGGCGTCATCCTCGTTGGAGGGATATTGTTGCAGTTCAAGCAGAGTAGTTGTGTTAATATTTATTGTTGCTGATTCTGTCACGCAGCTTACGTAGCAGTGATCGCAACGCTGTGAGGTGGCGCAGCACATGTAGTTTAACGCTTTGAGCGCTGCCTCGTTTTCGGACGACCGCTCCTACGGGAGTTGGGGCGCAGGCTGACTTCTGACTTGACCAGGAGAAAGCTCTGATACCTGCTGTACAGAGCGCTTACTCCTTGATGCGCAAGAGAACTGCAAGAGGGGTGCGGCATCGTTCGTTCGTTTGAGCACTTTCCATTTTCGGGGTTAGCTTATTCGGCAGGTGATTTGACACGCGCTCCTCCGCTAGTTCCAACTTAGGTCTCTGATGGGACATTCCACCAGGGTGCGAGGTCCTCAGCGCGACAATGCAACTTTGGAGGAATGTTCCGTGGCGAGAGCCTCGGTTTTCGGCGGGCTCAGCCTTGATGCTGGAAGCGTCGGGGCTCCATGATGTTGTACCTTGTGCATCAGGTGGAAGAGGCCATCGCGTTGCGGTCCACTATGCGATTATCAATCTGGCATGCCGCCGCCGTGGACCGTCGCGTGCGGCCGCGTAGCTCTCGGCGCAGACTTGGCGCGAACAGGAAACGCCCTCCATCTGCGTAGCTGTTGCGCACCCTTCAAGACGGTCTTGTGCGGCGCTAGCGCTAGAGCCACACATTGTAAATCAATTGCCCACCGTCCATGTATTTGTTGGAAACCTCAAGCTTACTGATCATAACTTGTGAGGATGCCTCAGGCGAAACGCCTGGCACATCCTACCGGCGCGTCTGTGGTGCGAGGTATTGTTTTATGTGAGGAGGAGGAGGAGGAGGAGGAGGAGGAGGAGGAGGAGGAGGAGGAGGAGAAGGCGGAGGAGGAGGAGGAGGAGGAGGAGGAGGAGGAGGAGGAGGAGGAGTGATGGCCGAGGAATGGGGTCGTCGTCGTCGGCCTTCGGATCGCCAGGGGGGCCTCCGGGACTGCTTCCGGAAACGATGCAGTATCAAAACGGCAAACACTTGATCCATGCCTTTCGACCTTCGACCCCCGACCCCCGACCCCCGACCATCGACCACCGACGTCGCCGTCGTCGCCGTCGTCGTCGTCGCCGCCGTCGTCGTCGTCGTCGTCGTCGTCGTCGTTGTCGTCGTCGTCGCCGTCGTCGTCGTCGTCGTCGTCGGCGGCGGCGGCGTCGTCGTTGGCGGCGGCGGCGGCGTCGGGCGCTCGGGCGCTCCCGTCGGGCCCGCGCCCCTGCCCCGGGAGAGGCGCAGGCGCGGGCGCTGGCTTCCAAGGCGCTCCCGTCGGGCCGGGCGGGGAGCTGAGCACGCGCCCGTCGTTGAAGATCCTCCTCCTCCTCCTGCTCTTCCTCCTCCTCCTCCTCATCGCCCCCTTTTCCTCCTTCTCTCCTCCTCCTCCGCCTCCTTCTCCTCCTCCTCCTCCGCCTCCTTCTCTCCTCCTCCTCATCTTCCTCCTCCTCCTCCTCCGCCGCTTCCTCCGAGTTTCTTGATAAGCGTCGGGGGGCCGTCACCCCCGCCGACAGCCCCACATCGACCCTCGTCGCGGCGCGACGACGAGGCGAGGCTGACCCCCGTCGAGGGGGTACTCCCCCACGCTTCTTAAGAAACCCCAAGTGAGTGTTTTTGGATTCCCAGATCCTAATCTTTCGGATGCAACTCCTGGGGGGTCAGATTCTGAATTTGCCGTAGTCCGACATCGGCTTCATCCTGCTAAGTCCCGCTTGATCCAGTCTGATCTCGCTTAGTCCGGCTTGATCCCGCTCAATCCGCGGCCTAATCAGGCGCAGCAGCCCCCCAACGGGGCTCAATTCTTCCTAGTCCTTCCGACGACTTCCCAGTAGGTCCCGCCTAACAAATTACTTCTAGCGCCTTCCTGCTCCGAGAATGGATCTGCTTGTGCTGTTTTTTGTTATTCTGGGAGGGCCAGAACCCAATCTGCTTTATCTGCCTTCCTGCTTCATGTTTTCGACTACTTCTTCTGACCGACGGGTAGCGGTGAGCAGCACCCACATGGCGTCCACGGCACGGTCGAGTCGGATCGGCGGGTTGAGCGGGCGCGGGAAGCGAGAGGGAGGATGCCCTCCCAGAAGGCGGCGGGGCTCCTCAAACGCCCTCCGATTTTCTCGAAAAGGTCTCCGCGTCCCCGGGGAAGAATCAGAGAACTTGTCAGAAGATGGTCGTTTTTTATTCATTTTTTTGCCGATCGGCGCGGGCCCTCGCACCCCCCCCCTCCCCCCACCCCCTCGTGGAGTAGATCTTGGCTGTTTTTGGCGCCTGCTTCGAGCAGGCGGAGTCTCCCCTCACAAGACGCACTGTCGCAGACAGCCGCGCTAGGCAGAGGTACGGAGCCAGACCCCCCCGCCGCCCCCCCCCCCCCCACCTTCCGCCCGCTGTCGAAACGCCGACTAAGAAAACGCTCGCAAGGCCCGGGGGGCCTCCGAGCCTTCCGAGACGGCCCGCCCCCTCCACTTTCCCCCTCTGGGCTGGCCGCTGGTCGGAGGTCGCGACGGTGCCCGGACAAGAAGTGTGCACACCCATGGCGGTCGGGGGATGCAGCACGATGAACGACCGCACCAGCGAAGTGCCCCTGCTTCACCCCTCCCCCCCACAGCGAAAGTTGAAGCGCTCACATTTTTTGTCCCTGGCCTCTGGCCTGCAGCCCAAACCCGTCAGTTTTGAACATGGGGGGATGGGGGGTATATACACGTCTTGGTCCGACGTGCTTTGAGAACTCAAGGTCGCGGAGGAGGAGGAGGGAGGAGGAGGAGGAGGAGGAGGAGGAGGAGGAGGAGGAGGAGGAGGACAAGGAGGAGGAGGAGCAGGAGGAGGAGGAGGAGGAGGAGGAGGAGGAGCAGGAGGAGGGAGGAGGAGGAGGAGGAGGCCTTGGCGAGACACGTGTGCAATCCTGGGCACCCGCCGGAGCTCCGGCCCGGAGCCCGTGTGGGGGGGGGGGGGGGCGGCAGGGCGTGCGTGGGCGCACGCCTTCGTCCGTTCGTGTTGCCTTTGCCTTTAAGTCGGGCCTGTCCCTCTACAGGAGAGGAGGAACATTCGAGAACAGTCAGAGAAAATTCTGGCGACGTTTTTTTTGAGTTTTTTTTGACTACGTTAAAGTATTTTTCGAGAATGTTTTGGCTTTTTCGTCCAGAATCCCCTTGTGTGGGGGGCAGGCCCGACCCAACTTTGAGCCGGGCCTGCCCCTCTACAGGAGGAATATTCGAGACCAGTGAGAAAATAGTCTGGGGACGATTTTCCAACCACTTTTGGCTATTTGTGGGTATGTTTTTTTGAGCATTTCGTCCAACATCCCCCTGACCCTGCCTCTCTTTCGCCTGCCTCTTGCTGCCGCGGGGGGGACCGCCGGCGCAGCGAGGGGCTCGGCATGGCTCGGGCGTGTGTCATTTTTTCACGGCGAGGGCCACGGAGGAGCTCCTGGTGGATCAGCCTGGGGAATATTCTTCAGCCGCGCGCAGAGGGGTCTGGGGGGAGGGGGGGGCTTCTTAGCAGCCTCCTTCGAAGAAGCCGTCCCCCCTCCCTCCACTCCCTTGTGCGCGCCGCCAAACTACGCGCGCGCGCGAAGCCGAAGCAGGCGCGGGGAAGGGACGTCCGAGCGATGGCGAGGGGAGAGGGGGGCGAGGAACAAACAGCCCTGTGAGCCGAAGAAGCACGGCGGCGCAAGCATTGAGTCGGGCGGGTCCCTCTACAGGAGGAATATTTAAAAATAGAAACTAGAAAAAATAGTCAGGGGACGATTCTTTGACTATTTCTGGGCATTTTTTGTTTCAAAAAAAAGGTTTTTTTTGATTTGTCATCCAAATTCCGCCTGTGGGAGGACATGCCCGACCTAACACAAGCACGAACTTGCGACGGTCCGCGCGGATCGCTCGGGTCGGCGCGATTTGCCTGAAGTGGCAGAGTGTTCCGTCAGGCCTTCTCTAAGCGTTTCCCAATTCCTGGATAGCTCGTGGAGGGCCAAGAGGGTTTCGGATTGAGAAGCCAGAGCCGCAGGGTAGCCCCGGAGCTCGTCCCGGTTCCGGCAGGAATGTAATCCCCCGCCTTCGAAGGAGCAGCCTCCTTCTAAGAATCAGGAGGGGGAAAAACACACAGACACAATTGATCGTCGACTACCAGGAAAGATGGGAAAATATAGGAATTGGGCGGGAAGACAAAAACCCAGAAAATATGGGAAAATATGGGGAATCATTTTATTTGTGTGTATTTCTTGGTGTGTCCTTGGGCCCTTTGAAAGAAGCTTGCCCCCCTCCCTCTCCCCCCCCTGAGCGCGCCGCCAATGAGCTGCCCGCGTGAGGTCGCGCGCAAGCGCCCTCGTCTCCATGATTTTTGCGTGCCGCGCTGGCGGCCCGCGTAAGCCGCGGCGTAGGGTCGCTGTGCCATCTCGCGTAAGACGCGTTTTTGATCGTCGCTCCCATTGTCGGTCCTTTGGAGGCCGTCTCCGCAAAGGCCCTGGGCCCCTTTGACGAAGGCCCCGGGCCCGTGTCACAAAGGCCCCTGGCTCGTCAAAGCCTTGGGCTCCCATACGCCGCAGACAGATGGTTCCACAAAACCACGAAAGTGGCTGTTCCACGGTACTCGGGGCGCTGTTCCACATTCCACAGTGGATTCCACAAGGCCCCGGGAGAGAGAGAGAGAGAGAGAGAAAGAAACAAAAATGAACAAGCAAGCATCCCACAGCTTGGAGCGGGAGTTCCGCAAGGTCGCGCAGGAGCGCGTTCCACAGGCCGTTGGGCGCCGTTTCGCAGTCCCCAGACCCCTTCCACGAGGCCGAGGAGAGGTGAGAGGGGGTTCGCCACCCCGAGGCGCTGTTTCACAGACCCCACGAGGGCCCCACAGCGCAGGCCAGCGCAGGTCAGCACACGCCGGCGCAGATCGGCGGAGGCGGGCGCAGGAGGGCGAGAGTCTCAGCGGGGACCCCTGCGACCTGACCTGCGCTGGCCTGTCGCTGACCTGCGTTGACCTGCCCTGACCTGCGCTGACCTGCGCTGACCCGGGTTGGATCCGATCGCGCTGGAGGAGGAGGAGGAGGACGAGGAGGGCGAGGAGGAGGAGGAGGAGGAGGAGGAGGAGGAGGAGGGGGAGGAGGAGGAGGAGGAGGAACTGGGGGAGGATGAGGGGGAGGGGGAGGAGGGGGAGGGGGAGGAGGACAAGCTAGGTGCGCTCGCGTCATATCTGACGTCCTAACCCTCCCTCCCAACCCCCACCATGGCGCTGATTTTCTCTATCCGCGGACGCGTGTCGTAGCGGACCTGTGGCTCCGCGCGCGCGTGCGTAGTGGGTGGTGGTGCGCGTGCGTGCGTGCGTGCGTGTGTGCGTGGATGGCGTGCTGTGGTGTGGTGGTGGTGGGTGGTGGTTGGTGGTGGTGGTGTGTGGTGTGGTGGTGGCGGGGTGCGTGGTGGTGGTGCGGCGCGGTGGTGGCGGGCGGATGGGCGCGCGAGAAAGAGGCCCGCGCTGGGGCGAGAAAGCATCCTGAACGACGGAGGCCAAAACCCATCCGAAAATGAGGCCCCACGCTGCAGCGGGAGCACGATTCGGAACGATTCGGGAGCAGAAATGAAGCCGGCGCCTCAGGGAGAGCAGCATTTTGAACAAAAAACGCAGGCGAAAACCCGTTTCCCGGGAATCCTGTGTGTAAAAAAACAGTACGCGGGGGGGTCGGATATCTTCGGGACGCCATCAGGGGAAGTGGGAGAGTATTTTCATATTGTGGAATTGTGGAGGAGAAGCAGGAGCAGGAACAGGAGGCGGAGAAGAAGGATGGGAGGGGGGAAAAGGGGGAAGCGGGGGCAGGAAGAGAGAGAGAGAGAGAGAAACAAAAAAAAAACAAGAGGGGGGAGGTAAGGAAAAGGGGACCAGGCTTGTGGAGGGAGAGATGTCTTCGCTCGCCCGACGCTGTGATTCTTTCAGTGCGCGGCCAGAGAGGTCCCGGCCCCTCCCCCAGGGGCGCTTCTCCGCCGTTCGGGGCTCCGCACTTCGGACGGTCCCGAGGCCCAGTGCTGGGCCCCAGGGGCCGAAGTCGACGAGAGGGGTCTGGCTTGAAAGCATCACATCGTCGGAGCTTTGGGGATCGATTTCGGCTCACCGTCTGGGATCGATCGGTCTCGATCTTCGATCGGTCGATCGGTGCGATGGCAGCCAGCCGGCAGGTGCGCGAGTTGGTGGGCGAGGGCGGCCGTCTGGACGCGATCGTCAACGTGGCGGGGGGGTTCGCGATGGGCAGCGCCGACGACCCAGCC